ACTGGAAGTTTTTAAGAAGAGACTGGACAGCCATTTGTCCGAAATGGTATAGGGTTTCCTGCCTGAGCAGGGGGTTGGACTAGATGACCTCCAAGGTCCCTTCCAACTTTACTATTATTATTATTATTATTATTATTATTATTATTATTATTATTATTATTATTATTATTATTATTATTATTATTATTATTATTATTAACTGATTCGAAGATGGTAAAAGCTTCCAACCTCGATCTGTCGATAGTCACAGATGGCCTTAATTGGGATGGACGTTTTTAGGGAATTTTCGGGATTCCTCGGCCTTAGCTGAACTATTGCCTTTGCTCTGCCCACAAGGCCTGCCACGGTGCTCTTGTACTGCAGGAGCTGTTCTTTTTCTTCCTGGATGCCAAATTAAAGAAGAAACATATTGAAAGCAGTTAAAAATTAAGCACCCTTTTCTTGGAAGTGTTTTAGGTTTTCTTGGGGGGTTTTTTTTTTGGTTTGGTTTCTTTTCCAAGATGTAATTCACAAGAGGCACAATCGGGGACATTTTTGACAGCCTTTTCCAAATGGATGATTTGCAGAGATTATTTCCCATTCTCAGGGTTCTCATATGGCTGGAATCCTAGTAACCGTTGTTGCAACACATCAGGAGGGAATCGGTTTAAGGAATGAGGCTTTGTACAATAACTACTATTCTCTAATAATTATAGTCGTATTTGGCAGAAATGACAACAGTTCTTGAACAAGGCAACCTATGATCAATTTGAAATAATTTCACCCAAGTATTTAGGTTTATTCGTTCCAGTTTCAAGAATAATGGTTATTTTGGTCATAGCTTGATTCATACAGGCTGTTTAATAAGCTTCCAATACTGAAAATTAATGAATGCAAACTACCTTTGTTTTTACAGGGAATGCCTCTTCTCAGTTAAAGAAAAGGTTCTGCTAATAGACACTGCACACATGTCTGAGTGTGTGCACATACGCATGCATTCATCCTGGCTAAAGGCATAATATCTTAGAAAGTATTAACACATACTTGAAGAATAAAATCAGCTAACGTATTCACATTCCTACCATAGACTCTTGGATCATATCTTCTAGTTTATGAATGCTGCTGGATCTATCACAATTGTATTTTCGATGTACTGCATCTCGTAAATTCTTCAAGTAATCTAGAGCCTCCTTAGCATCACTGAAAAACTAGAATGAAACAAACTTTTCATTTAATAAGGCACTACTGAAAATATGTTTATTATACATACAGAGAGGGAGGGAGGGAGGGAGGGAGGGAGAGCGAGAGAGAGAGAGTGAGAGAGAGAGATCAAAAGATATCAAAACAGTAATGGTTACTGATTTTTTTTACAAGATTTATATACAATATACTGGACCAGTAGAATCACACTACTGGAATAATATAAAAAATAGTTTCTTTGAAACATCTGACTTAAACAGGTAAAAACTGTATCTTCGTCTTAACACATTTTTCACATCTGTGAATTTTAAACATTCTTCTACACCTGCTTAGCTGAGAACCACATTAAAATTTCCTTCTTGGTAGTATAGCTACAGCTGAAATCTGCAAGCATGTCACAGTATCTTCAATTTAATCCATACCTCAAAATATGCAGTGTTTTCTCTTAAGTGCTGTTCAACACATTGGCAGAGCTGTAAAATCCAGCTCCACTGGGTTTGCATTGCAGCTCGGTAGGCCTGAAGGATACAGAGAGAGATAAAGAACCACGTGTGTCTATGCAACCTCAGCCCCAGTTCTCTCTAACGAGAGAAAGAATATGAATAGATTTCCCCTCCCCCATTCCTAATGCCTTTGTCTCAACTGTATGCAGTAGAACAAAAGCACTCTCTAAAATATAAATTGCTCTACAAAAATAGTAAAACATTTCCTGAAAAGTCAGGTTGACTGCAATTTAGAATCTAAACACCTTGGCTCCAGCTTATATTATTGGACAGTGGCTGCCTGTCAAGTTGGCTAAAACTAGTGACACTCGCTACAGAATCCGGTAGAGCGTATTGTTTAATAACAAGGACAGATCACAAAGATCATCGGCTTCTAGTTTTTAAGTATTGTTGTAGAATATCCATACTGACAGAGATATAGAATCAACTAACCTGTGGTCAGTACTGAAACTCGGAGGTGCCCATATGTGCTAGCTACAGTCTTTGGTTGCAAGAGATTATTCTACAACAGTGTTTCTCAACCTTAGCCAGTTTAAGTTGAGTGGATTTCAATTCCCATGGCCGGCTGAAGAATTCTGGGAGCTGAAATCCACTCTTCTTAAAGTTGCTACGGTTGAAAGTACTGACCTACAGTATATTTCTTAATTCCAGTCCAAAATAAATGTAATGTCCAAGTAAGATCTGTAATAGTATATAATTGTGATGCATAACAGCAATGAAACATTTATAGGGAGAGGCTCCATATTACAAATCAGCAAGAAAAATGCTGCCCCCCCCCCAGGGGTACTAGATTCACTCTTATTCAAACGTTAGATGGTGCTATGGTACTGGAATTGTCCATGGGGAAAAAGAGCGCTCTGCATTCCTTTTTAAGTAACTCAAAACAATCAGCAGTGAAACACAGCCAGTGAGGGCAAGAAATAGAACAGAATACAATAGAAGAAACCAGGAAGAATTCAGGAAGAATTCCTGGGCTAGTTGGAACCCTAAACAGGAGGGCCACGTTTTGTAACCTTGTTTCATTCATTTTAGGACAATAGCAAGGTGTCACGCTGAATTTTAAAGACTAACAAATGCACTGAGTCATAACCTTTCATGCTCAACTAAACGTATACTGCCAGAAAATTTTATGTGCAGCAATGCAGCAATAACACAAAATGGAAAACGGGAACCCAGTCATAAATAGTTATCTGGAGCTCTAATGTGTACAAGATGAAATCAGTGATGCCCGTTATTGACTACCGTTGGAAACAGAAATACAGCAGAGGACTAAACAGGAAATAATGTCACAAGATTGTATATGAATTTTCTCCACGGTTTTCAACAAAAGCTGGGGGGGGGGGGAAGGGCTGGTGTTAGAATAAACACAACAAACATACAACCAACTGAGGAAGGCTGCAATTCTGCAGAAAGTTATTTAAAAGTGTTGCTCTAAATTTGGAATCCTACAAAAAGTGCTTCTAAAGCCAGATTTAATAACCTACCTCAATAGTTAATCTCGCAGGGTGGTTTTCAAAGAGCAATTGTTCTGCTATTTCCTGAACTGATTTAATAACTTCTTCTTTCTGGTCAAGTTCTCTCATCAGATCCTTTCAAATTAAAACAAAAAACAAAAAAGCTTTTGAAACCTGCAGCAAGTAGGAAAGAATACGTTCAGCTTTATTTTTAACACATTACTAAATCTTACGGCATGATATTCCTTTTTCCTTGCTATATTTGTGTTCCTTTCACTCCAGTCGTGTGCAACTTCCTCCTCTTCCTTTTCATTCAACCATATAAGTTCCCGAGTGGCACGTGACACAAAATTGTGAAGGGTGTCAAGGTGTCTTTCCTGATTTCTAGAGGCATTCTTGAGAAGACAAAAAAACAAAGTTTGATTTTGCTTACATTGCCAAGGAACATCCCACTGAGACCTGGACTTCTTGACAATGATCTTACCAAGAGTTTTGCATATTGACTCTCCAGTTTGTGCAATTTTTCTGTATAGCTGAGTTTGAGGGGAGCAGTCATTTGGATCTGGGTAGAACAAACTGGATTAGAGATTTTTTTTAAAGAAAGAAAAGAAAAGCCACCAGACACACAACAGTTAACAGGAGGATTGTGCATTTCTTATTATTCATTTAATTAATATAACAAAGTGATTCTTCTTTAAGCCAAGTGCAGTTATACAACAAGTTAAAACCTATGCATGTTTTTAAAATATGTACAGTCACCAAGGTGTTTTTATGCTGTACCTCACTGATTTTTGCTTCTTTAAGACTTGATTCAAATTCTTCAATAGCTTTGTGAACATTCTTGTGATTTTCAACATGGCTTTCAACACCTGGCAAATCTGATCCCCATTCGGCTCGGTCAAGCTGTACCTGTTAAAGGAATGGTTTAAAAAATTAAACTTGATCCATTGAATAAATAAGAAAAAATGATCAAGTGCAGATGAAGACCATACACAACGTCAAGATGTTACCTGCATTTCATCCACCCATCTTAAGAGGTCCTGGACAAATTTCATATTGACTTCTTCTTCTGTTAAATTCTGATCAATGAAAGCCGATTTCATCAGAGGCTTCCGAATCTGTGTCAATTTGAGTGTTTGAAGTGCACCTGTGTCAACTCCAGTTATGTAGCTTTGAATTAACCGTGGTGGGAAG